CTCCCGCCAGAGTTCAACGAAATGCTCGTTGACGACAGCCACTCCAACCCGCCAAAGATTCGCGACCCGTTCTGTGACGAAAGTTTCTACTCGGCAGAGAACACTATAGCAAACTTTTTTAAAAATTCCGCCGTCCGCACGAACAATGCTTCCGAAGCAGACTACTTCTACGTTCCTATACTTTCCACATGCTATCTCATGACCAACTTGCCCAATGACGTGGAGAAGACTGGCGCCTTTTTCTCAAAGGCCATGGACCATATCATTAACGAGTACCCGTACTGGAACCGCAGCGACGGTCGCGACCATGTCTTCATGTTCGCGCAGGGCTTTGGTGCCCGTCTCTCGGGAGATTGGGGGCGTTACAGGCACGCCACTTTTCTTGTGCACAACGGCGACTATGAAGAAGAACACTTTTCCACGCACAAGGACATAGTTGTGCCCCCCGATCTTTCCCATTATTTCAAACCTGTCGGCCTCGCCCACCCAGAGCGCTTACTCCCGAAGGACAACTTTGTCCTTTTCGGAGGACAAATCCTGAACACATCAATCTCAGACCATCGCGGCAGCAACTACTCAGGTGGGGTACGCCAGTTTATTCAGTCGGATCTTGCGGACACCGACGGTTACAAAGTCACAGGTGTCCGCTCGACGACCTATATCGAGGACATGATGGGCAGCGTCTTTTGTCTTGCACCACATGGCTGGCATAAATGGAGCCCACGACCCGCCTATGCCGTGCTTCTAGGTTGTATCCCTGTCGTTATTAGTGAGAAACAGAAGCTCTTCTTGGAGGGCTTGGTAGACTACTCGCAGATCTCGTACTGGGTGCGCCCGCATGAAATTCGAGACTTGGACCGCAAGCTGAGAAGTATTCGACACGAGGAAATAACCAGAAAGGAGCTTGCGCTACGGGACGTGTGGAGGTTATTCTGGTACGGCGAAGAGGGGCTTGCGGAGCAAGCAATTTTGTACAGTTTACACAGAAGACTGGATGCTGCTCGTCCAATCAGGGAGTATATCTAACTTCCCAAGTCTTTGTGTTGTTAAGGGTAACAGCATTTTGGTCAAAGCATGATGGTTTGTTATGTTCCGTGGCATCCCAGACTTGATATGCTATAGAAATTGCGACTCTTCAGAGGATAGTCCTAAAACTAGTGTTGATTCTCAATAGCTGACTAAACAGAAGGACGCCTAAGTCGTAAAACGTTTAGCATTACTACAGTACACAATACCACAGTACTACGCCCGCAGCTGTAGTGGTGGGACGCGCTGCGCGTGGGTGGGGCAACGAAGGCAATGTGAGTTATGTGCGACGGTGTATGGGGCGATGGGTATGGGGCCTGCGTGTTGTTGTGGCGGGCAGCGGGAGTTGTTCCTGCGGTGCTGTTGTGGGAGGGGCGCAACAAGTTCCTGGGAATATTTTGCCAATCAAGGAAGAAGGGTGGGACCACCCTTCTTCCTTGATTGGCAAAATATTTCGCGAAAATGAAACGTTTGAAGCATGTTAAGAGGATCTCCACCGGTAGAATAAATTCAATGCAAAATTTTCGCAAGTGTCCGTACATCCTGACAGAGCGCACAAGTGTAAAGGGCGGGTGCCCTTAAAATGGAACGGTTTCGTAAATTTAAAATGAAAACATGAAGCAGCCGGCCTTTTTGCATGAGGCAAGCAGCATTATTGAGCTCAAGCCAAGTCAGTTCCCAACGCAATCAATATAAGTGTTGTAGGCATCGGATTGGTCTAAGAATTGAGCCACAAGTCATCACGTCTGTTGACAGCTAAAAAGGGGGGCTGCGCGCGTAGGGGGAGAGAAAAGCGAGATGCTTATTTCAAGAGGGGGGTCGGTCCCGGTGTCGTTGTCGTTCCCCCCCACTGCGGTGTGTCGCGGCGCGCCCCTTTCTCTTATAGAGGGGCCGCCATCATCCTCCATTCCACAGGACCGCCGCCCTTCAAAGGGAGATTGTCCACGTGTACACCTGGCGTACACGCGAACCAAAAAAATCACCTTTTTGAAGGCTTGGTCCTGGGGACACTCCTGGGTACTGCACCCTGTACAGTACCCCAAATCTCCCCACACGACCCCCTTCCTAGCCCCACACCCGGGCATGGGCAACATATATACTGACTGATGGCCGGTCCTTTGCCCCTGGTGCTCGGCTTGAGTCAGAAAACGGGTGCTCGACCTTGACGATCCAATTAACACAATTTAGTGTCACCATCGACACCCTATCGATGGGTGTCGATGGTGATACTAAATCGAGTCCATAGTGATGGTGAGGCTAAGTTGTGGTAATTGGATCGTCAAGGTCGAGCA